GCGCGAACTTACTAGCATTGCATTCATCATATATTTTAATGTGCGATTCTTTCGTTCGGCAACACCGTTTGATATAGGTGAATAGGGTGCGGTACGTTCATGTACTATACCCACGCTCGCGCAGAAGTCACCAATTGGTGCTTCATACTCACCACCTTGACCACTTCTAACCGTTTTAATCCGTCGATTAAGTTTGTTTTCCACTCCATTCTTATAAAGAATGAATTTATCGATTGCTTCATGTTTATTTTTTAATAAATAAACATAGCTATTGCGAGTGCTATCATCGATAAAAGTAATAAAATATTTATTACCGCCACGTGTTTGTATTGATTTAAAATCACAAACGTTACTATGAATTAATTCAAGTGGTTCCGTTTTTATTTCAACCGATTTGAAAGACGTTTTCGTTAGTTTTGCCTCTACACAAACTTCACATTTGAGCTTCACATCAATTGTGAATTTAGGAATGTGTTCCATGTTAATTAATCTACGTATAGAATTAAAATTAACATGTCCTAGTCTATCATGCCACACATTGGAAGACTCAAGCAAGTAAGCAGAAGGAGTTTTATTATTATTATTAGTCATTACATTGAGCTTAAACCGCCCATCACATGTATACCCCTTCCCCACATACATTCCCGACTTACAAAGAACTAGTTTGTCTGACTCAAAAACCATGCGGAAGCCAAGCTTGTTCAACAACGAGCCAGAGATCAGGTTTTTATGTATCTCCGGAACAACAACACTTGGTTGAGAGTCAGCTCCTTGCTCGAAGTCATCTTCAGGACCACCATGCCCACGTCCTCCACCGCAGAATGAGCAGAATTTGCCATCCACATCTTCTCACCATTCGATGGCTCTAAGGTCGTGAATAGCTCTCGGTTTGAGCAAATATATCGGGTTGCACTGGTTTTCACGAACCACTCCTTGGAATTGGATCCAATGAGGTTGACCTCGATCACCACGGCCGCAAGGATGATGTCTTCATCCTTTTGCCCATCTTGCACCAAGTTGACGTGAGAATCTTTATTCCTCTTTGGTGCCTTGCAATCCGCGGACTTGTGTCCGTTTTTATTGCAATTGAAGCATTTTCCGTTGAACTCCGTCTTGGATATGCCTCCCTTGGGAACAAGCTTGTTCTTCCCATTATTTTTAGTTTTGGAGCCCTTTGCATGCTCCACCACGTTTGCCTTGGCGCTGGTAACGATGGGGAGTTTCTCATCGTTCTTCCGGTTATCCTCTTCAATCCGCAGACGGAGGATCAATTGCTCCAAGTTCATTTCCTTTCGCTTATGCTTAAGTTAGTTCTTGGAATCCTTCCAAGCCGGCGGCAACAAATGGATAATTGACGCCACTTGGAAAGACTCGCTAACCGTCATTCCTTCATCTCGAATTTTGTTGAAGATCATTTGCATTTATTCAACTTGACTCAAGACCGTCTTCGAATCCACCATTTTAAAATCAATGAATCGGCCGACAACAAATTTCTTTCCACCGACATCCTCACTTTTATATTTGTGGTCCAAAGCATTCCATAGCTCCTTAGTCGTAGCTAATTTGCTATAAACGTCACACAAAGCATCATGCAGCCCATTCAACATATAGTTTCGGCAAAGGAAGTCAGAATGCTTCCATGCGTCAACCGCGTTGAATGATAGCATATCCACCTCACCTCAGTTGCTACCGGCGCATCTTCGGTCAAGAACCTAGCAAGACCGAGAGTAGTAAGGTAAACTAGCATCTTTTGCTGCCACCTCTTGAAGTTTAACCCATTAAATGTTTCAGGTTTCTCCACATAGTTGCTCGGCACGGTAACCATAGGGATTGCCCATTGGTTGCCCAAAGTAGATGCTCCGCGTTGTGAACCATTGTTCACCGGAGTTCCACTTTCAGAGTGACTGTCGTTTGGCACGTTCTGTCCGCCAACATTCTGAATTTCTTGAGAAGTCATTTTCGTTTCTTAAGTTTTCCGAAAACACAAAAAAAAATTAAGTTCGTTCACCTCAGTGACAACAACATTTTTAGATTGTTTACCGCAGTAGAACAATCACCGAATACGTTTTAAGATTGTTGGATGTGTTTCGAAAAAAAAAGAAAATAATTAATAAAAATTAATAAATTAAATGACTAATTAAAGAAAACAGAAAATAGATGGAAAAGAAATTAGTCAGAGCTCGTGCTACGCACGATGTCCTTAATACGTATTCGTCGCCTCCCACAGTGCTAGGAGCGCTGCAACGACCGTTTCCCAGGATACGGTGGCTTACGAACTAACGTTTGAGCACACAAACGAAAGTTCCGTAGAACGGGAACAAGGTAGAACACTCAGGAAATTTTCGGAGTAGCTGAAAGTGTTTTTAGATCTAAAAACTACGTGCAGATTGCTTCTGAACGTGTAAGAACGTGTGTTTGTTGCAAAGCACCTGTCAGCTATTTGTAGGAGGATTTGTGGTGTGTTATCCGAACGTTAATGGACCTGAATGTTGCACATAAATGTCCAACATGTTGGGCACTAATATGTCAAAAAAGTTTCCATTTAAAGAAGCATTAAAAGATAAGAACGTTGGGCATTAACTTTCGTAACGGCTGATAACTGCGCGACCAGATCCCCTCCGTGGTGTTCTATACGGAAGCCACCAGAAGACCTCATGGTCTTCTGGTTCCGGGAAAAAATAAAACGTTACGGGAAGAAACAAAAATTAAATCGTATCTTGAAATGATAGATTTTCGGACGACATTCGTGTTCGCAGGTCTCTCGCGCACACGAGTCGCGGTTTTTCTTCTCCGTTTTCGAGATTTGATCGGCACACCCCCTACGCGCGAAGAGAGCCTTTCCCGATAGGAATCTTAACTCCTTCAAAGAGGATTCCCTTTATAAGGGAGTGAAAATCTCTTGGGTTTTCCGGTGTGAGATAAATCACACTAGAAACTCATCTTTTTCCCCAGTTTTTCCGTTTCAACGAGTGAACTTTGAGAATCAATTTCTCATTCAGCCGTTATCTGTTTTGAGTGTACCACATATCGAATTGTAGCCCTTAACAAGGATAATCCGAAACCACTTTGAACCGACCCAAATCGAAAGTGGACCCCACTCAAAATATTGCCCCAAATTGACCATTTAATGCAATTTTTAACACATTTTTCCTACATTCTATTCATGTACAAATGATAAATTTAAAATATGAGGGAATTTGAGTTTGCACTTTAACACAAAATGTGTGAATATAAAGTGGGTATAAGGGTGGGACATCAAGCATTGTTGTATTTTATTTACTAGAAACACTACAAAAAACATGGGATTGACAGGTATTTTGGCAGAGATTTGGCAGAGATTTTGGCAGGGATATGCCAAATACGTGCCAAAAATACTTTGGCACGAGTTATTTTTCATGAAAAATCGATAAATCCGTGCCAAATTCCGTGTCAATCCCGTAATTTTTTTTTGTAGTGAAAGGACCGCACTTTGAAGACGCTAATTGGAGTGCGTGAGAGCTGTGGCGGTGTGCGGTGCGTATCCACCATAAGGTCATTTGTCCTAATTTGACTTTTTTACCAAAAATTAAACAACATCCTTACTGTTGTAAAACCACCAAATTGACAAGTGTGAATATTCATCCTTGTAATCAAGATACTAAGCAAACACACCGGAAAATGAGTAGCATTCGTAACGTCGGGGGATCGATTCTTGCGTGCATCCGTAATGTTTGATTTTTTAAAATTGGCTTCTTTCCTCTTCCATTTTGTCCCACACCGGAAAATGAGTAGCATCCTACTCCAAAATCATCAATATAAACTAGGTCCCTCAGTTTAGAATGGCAAGATACATTCTAGGCAGCTAAGACACGTTCTAGGTTGCCATTAGGCTAATTGGGCTCAAAATTTAGCATGTTTCAATGGATTTTAGTCTATTGGATATTAGTTTAAATTTAATTATTACAACTGAGTCGGTTTTTTCGGGTTCCGGTAAACCGAACCGAAAAAATTGGGCACCAAAAATCGGTTTCCGATATTATATCGGTTTGGTTTTGGTTTTGTTAATTTTGTAAACCGAAATATCGGTTCGGTTCGGGTATATGGTGAATTGGTTCGGGATCCGAACTGAACCCAGCCCTACTTGTAATCACAGACATGGCTAGATTCAATACTGCCATCAAATTATGTGGAATCATTCCTATATGATTCATCCCTAAGCTTGGCTAGTATAAATAGGGCTTGTTTCATTCATTGTAAACTCACTCAAAAAAAACTCAGAAATTCAGAGAAATCAGTTATATTAAGAAGAAGTAATTTAGAGCTTTTATTAATATATCTATCTTTTAAGTTTAGTCTTGATCTTCTTCATTTTATAACACGTTATCAGCAGAATCTGCTCAAAACCTTCAAGAAATCATCATCTCCTGCATGTATTAACATGAATATCTATTATCTTCTTTTACTATTCAAACTTGAAAATTATTCTCCCTTTTAAATAAATTTTCTATGATATACGGAAAGAAAATATAGATAACATGCGGACATACCTTTAAGCACTCTTCAATCCGAATGAACTCTTCATAAAAAAATGAGTGAAATACACCATAATAATTAAAGAAAGAATCTTGCACTTGTAGTACCCCGTGTACTCTAAGAAAGTTGACACTTAGTTCAGCTAGTTGTTTTAAATAATACGAAGTATGCGTAAGAAGAGGAACAAAGGTAAATAAGCTGCTGAAATAAATAAGGCATATAAAATATAGGCAAAACTAGTTACTGAGTCACGGGCCTTGTTTTACTCACATGCATGATTGTCAGAAATTGGACTGTACATAAGATCACATGCATGCTATGATAAACATAACTGATAAACTTTTGGCTGTATTCATTTTATAAATTCAAAATTAAATGTCCATTATATATTTATTCGTGTATTGCATATACGAAGTATAACTGTTGTTGGATAATTTATACTCATATTGTATGAAAAGGAGATTTGAACAAGAATGTAGTAGGGAATGGAGAAGAAGAAGATAAATGTGTATAGAATGAATATTGGTTGTATGAGTTATGTAGCCTCCTAAAGGAGTATATATAAGGAAAATCCGGGTCTGGACCTCTAATATGGGCCTGACAGACCCGGTTACATAAATGGATTGATAGTACAAAAAACTAATCTAGAACATCTGAATAATAATAATAATAATGTACAATAATATGAATGATATCCGCTAAACGTGTGTGGGCTGCTGTCCAGGCCCAGTAGTCGGCAGACCGGGGGGTCAGAGTCCATATATTCCATCAGGAGTCCCCCACTCCCTGAGTCGAGAGTACTCGAGGCGAAAGGGAGTAGTCCAAACTGTATCTGCAACGTTCCCTATCTTTGATTTCTTCCTCTCCGGCCGGGGACAACCACCCTTGTCCATGATGGGGAGGTGCCTCGTTAAAAACCTTTACTAGGAAAAAACCCTGTGGGAAAAAATCCTAATAAAGGGAAAAAGAGTACACCTAGCGCCCCCAACATGAAACAAGGAAGGTAAGTGCCTCTGGCATAATCGATTTTGTCTAGCTTAGCTCCTCTTCATCCGACTCAGCTTTCGTTCCTGCTCATGCGTGATATTTTCTGCTCATTTAGAAACTCTGACCTCTCAGTCCCCCGACCCCCCACTCTTTGAGGCGAGTAGAGTCGAGGTGAAAATGAGTAAAGTCATCTTCGTACCTACACATTTAACATGCATATAAATTTTTTCTTGGGGTTTTCCGATCGAGAGTTCGTCACTTGAAAAAAGTGGAAATGTGAATTGTTGATGTAATGATAAAATACTTAGTAGAGTGGAGGTGTGAGTCATTCGTACGCAACGGTCGCCACTCTTGGAATGACTAAGACCGGTCTTCGTGCCTGAGGAGTCAGGGCTTTGTGCCTGAGGAGTCAAGGCTTTGAATCTTAGTGATGGGTCTCAAGTCACACTCTACTAGGCATTTGATCATAATTGCGTGATATTATGACTTTTAACCGACAACAAAAATATTGATTAAAATAAATATAAATAATATGAGAATTAAAGAGTACTTATCTTTTTGAAGTGGGATGAAATAATGGACTGATTGGGCTGAAATATTCCCGTGAAATTGTATCCCGTCCGGTAACTTGTTTGGTCCCAAGGTATTCTGGCCATCGTTTCTTACTTAGGCCCAATCTTCCCTGGCCTACTACCGTGTTGTTGACTATCATGGGTTAGGGCAGCACTTTTGACAGTTGACTGAGTCAAATGGAACCCACACACCAGTCCAGCTAGCCAACCTCTTTCGGCCACCGAAGCCATTGAGGCATTTTTTGTATCACTATCACGGTGGGGCTGCATAGAGACTCGATTTTTGATTTAATGGGGAAGCCCACCATCTATTTTCACCAACTTTGTCCTCCTAATAATAGACCACAACTTTGGATTCTCTGGAGCAGATCCGTCCACGTGGCTCCAGACTTATCTACTGCGCCAAGTAGATCCCGCCTGCAACCAAGCCCCTACGCGAGTAGCCTTCCGGCTATTGTTGCCTACTTCATCAACGGCGCCCGCGCTCTCCAGGAGACGTTGCAGCGACCATGGAGGACGGTGGCAGTAGGTTCAGTCATCCTCGACTAGAGGGCGGCGACAGGTGACGGCTGACCGGAGCTCCTGGAAGATGGGCAGTGCGCAGGAGCGTAAGAGACGTCTGTGGTGGCGATGAGTTAGAGGGCAGTCTGTCCTTCCCTGAGTTTTGAGGGCGTCTGAGCTTAGACAGCATGGCGGATTTTCGAGGTTGAGCTTAATAACCGGAGAGATGGAAACCGTGACATCATGGTGGAGTGAGGCAGTAGGCAGCGGGACAGAGGCGGCGAGCCCCAGCCAAAATCACCCACCCACGAAGGACCTCTGACTCAGCGGCTGAGATCTTGGAGCGTCGGGGTTCTCTGGCTCCCAGTTGCGAAGGTGATAAAGATGACGTCCTAGAGCTGCTGAATCTCGACCATGAACTTCCAAATTTCATCATTTCCTCTCCTGATTTTGGATTTTTTGTTTAGAACATTCCTGACTGGATTCTTTTCTTTACTCGAATACAGGACGCCTTCGTCACCACTACATATGAGCTTGATGAAGCTCCAGTATAACTTTGGCCTCGAGTTGGAATCCATCGTTGGTCCGGACTAACCCGTCCGTCGCGAGCTCCTACGGATTTCAGGAAGTGGTGTCACGCTGGAGAAAGATTGGAATGCACGTCGCGCGTCGGACTGGGCCAGACCTGATTGCTCGCTTGCTGCTCCGTTGACCAGTTAGTTCCGATCTGACCAGAGCTGCTCCAGATCTGGATAGTTCCATTTTTTTTTGAAATTCCCGATTGTTTTTGGATGGATTTTTTGTGTGGTTCAGTGGATTTTTTGTTAAGCGGTGAGGTTTTCTCACTTGATTGTGTTCAAACCTCTCAACGAGAGCACCATTGTTGGATAATTGATACCCATATTGTATGAAAATGAGATTTGAACAAGAATGTAGTAGGGAATGAAGAAGAAGAAGATAAATGTGTATAGAATGAATATTGGTTGTATGAGTTATGTAGCCTCCTAAAGGAGTATATATAGGGAAAATCCGGGTCTGGACCTCTAATATGGGTCTGACAGACCCGGTTACATAAATGGATTGATAGTACAAAAAACTAATCTAGAACATCTGAATAATAATAATTATAATAATAATAATGTACAATAATATGAATGATATCCTCTAAACGTGTGTGGGCTGCTGTCCAGGTCCAGTAGTTGGCAGACCGGGGGGTCGGAGTCCATATATTCCACCAACTGTATAAGTCACTAGGTAACTCTCTTAATAACTTAAGTTTCGTTGTTGTTTGATTTTTAACTCAAGTACCGGTGATTATTTCAATTTAAAACTTTCATCTTGTAAAATGTAAATAAGGCACCTTCACATTCAAATCAAGTTAGACAATAATATTTGAATCATTGATAAATTTTATATTCATATGCAATTAGTATATTTAGTGTATGACTGGACTGGTTAATACATACTACACATATGTTAATAATTGAAAAAATATTTACTTACTTTACGTAGTATATTACTACTATGGATATATTCATACTTAAATAATAATTTCAGATAATTATTATATGGTTAGTAATAATCTACATCAATAAATCCTGCAGTATAACGGTAAATATTAGCAAAAGAAAATTTGATGTTCTTGATCTTTCCGGACAAAAATATTTGGAATGGAAAGTGGATGCTTTAGCACATTTGAAGGCTAACGGTCTGGAAGACACTATTGAGGCTAATAATCAATCATCCTCCCAGGACAAAGCGAAATCTATAATTTTTCTCCGTTACCATCTCCATGAAAGTCTCAAATCTGAATATCTTTTGGTTGATGACCCAAAAGAATCATGGGACAATTTACAGGAGAGATATGGCCACCAACAAAAGGTACTTTTGCCAAAAGCTCAGTATGACTGGATCAATTTAAGATTCCATAATTTTAAATCAATCAGTGACTATAATTCTGCCATGTTCCTAATAACATCTAAACTAAAGTTATGCGAACAAAAAGTCACTGATGCTGATATGTTGGAGAAAATCTTTTCTACGATGCATATTTCTAATATGCTGCTACAGCAGCAATATAGAGAAAAGGGTTTTAAAAAATACTCCGACTTAATATCAGTATTATTGGTAGCTGAGCAAAATAATGACCTTTTGATGAAAAATCATAATCTGAGAACCACTGGTTCTAGTCATTCGGTTTATGGTCCATCTGGTCATAATTTAGCCACTGAATCAAATGCAACATACAGTGGCAGTAGAAGGCATTTTCAACGTGGGCATTTTCATGGTCATAAAAACAAGTCACATCGAGAATATAAACAGGTCAATAGACCAAATAATAAGGGCAAGGGCAAACAGAAGGCTCATCAAATAAATCGCCCTCCAAAAACCTCGGTAAAGACGACTTGTTATAAATGTGGCATGACGGGGCATTGGGCTAACAAATGACGTACTGTGAAACATCTGGTGGAATTATTTCAAGCTTCCATGAATTTGAACAAAGGCAAAAATATGGAAGTTAATTATGTCAATGACACAACTCCACCTCTGCCAAAATTTGACGTGTCTGACTTTTTCGCGAATGATGCCATTATGAACGATGCTTTTGCCATAAACCAAAATGTTACTAAATAAAATAGTAGACTCCTGATGATTGTACAATACTAATTTTATGTACTTTTTCTTTCTTCCCCTTTTTATTTTGCTTTTAAATAAATATGTGTAATGTATATACTCTTATGTTAAATAAAATGCATAATTTATGATCAAACTTATATTTATATATTGAAGATATGAATCACTCAAATGATAAAGAACTGTGTCTGATAGACAGCGCCACAACGCACACCATTTTGAGAAATAAAATATATTTCTCTCAAATGACTTTAGTTAATGCTAAAGTCAATACCATATCAGGTGTTGCGAAGCTCATTGAAAGCTTTGGGAAAGCATATGTGACGCTTTATACTCCAGCAAATCGTGGAGAAATTTATTGAGCTTTAAAGATATGCGTCAAAATGGTTATCACATAGAAACCATGAATGAAAATCAAAAGGAATATATTTGTCTTACCACAACTAAATCTGGCACTAAATATATTTGTGAAAAAATGCCAGCATATTCCTCAGGACTATATTTCACATATATTAGTCCATTTGAAATAAATTTGGTTTCTAACACAAAGTTAGATGATCAGAAAACATTCATGTTGTGGCATGACCGTTTAGGTCACCCAGGTCAGGTAATGATGCATAAAATCATTAAGACCTCACTTGGACATCCATTAAAGAATATAAGGGTTCCAATATCAAGGGATTTTCCTTGTAAGGTCTGTTCTCTTGGCAAAATGATCATCAGGCCCTCTATGAACAAAATTGCAACTGAATCAACTGCATTTTTAGAAAGGATTCAAGGAGATATTTGTGGGCCGATAGCCCCACACTGTGGGCCATTTCGATATTTTATGGTTTTGATTGATGCTTCAACACGTTGGTCATAAGTCAGTCTGTTATCAACTAGAAATCTAGCATTTGCTAAACTCCTTGCTCAAATCATACGATTAAGAGCTCATTTTCCGGATCATTCTATAAAAAGAATCCGACTTGATAATGCAGGAGAATTTACATCCCAATCATTTAACGACTATTGTATGTCGATTGAGATTGATGTGGAGCACCCTGTTGCTCATGTCCATACACAAAATGGTCTTGCTGAATCTTTGATTAAAAGATTACAATTAATCGCCAGACCATTATTAATGAAGTGTAACTTACCTTTATCAGCTTGGGGACATGCTATTTTACATGCAGCAAATTTAGTTCGGCTTAGATCGACTGCATATCATGAATATTCTCCAATGCAATTAGTTGCTGGACAAGAGCCAAACTTAGCACACATAAAAATATTTGGTTGTGTTGTTTATGTTCCGATTGCTCCACCTCATCGTACAAAAATGGATCCTCAAAGAAGGTTGGGAATTTATGTTGGATTTGAATCTCCCTCAATAATAAAATATCTCGAACCGATGACTGGTGACTTATTCACAACACGGTTTGCAGACTGTCATTTCAATGAGACAGTATTCTCAACCTTAGGGGGAGAAAATAATAAATTAGACCCAAGTACGAAAGAAATTACATGGAATGCAACATGATTATCACATCTTGATTCAAGATCAAATATATGTGAGCAAGAGGTGCAAAAGATAATTCATTTACAAAATGTTGCAAATCAGTTGCCTGATGCATTCACAGATACAAAGAAAGTGACAAAGTCACATATTCCTGCTACGAATGCCCCTGCCAGAATCGAAATCCCAGCAGAGAATTCTGAAAAATCTCTTGCAAATGATTCTTCTATACGCAAAAAGTGTGACAGGCCACTTGGATCAAAAGACATAAAACCAAGAAAAACTAAAAGGCAGGAATTGATTTGTGATGCCAAAGATGTTCATCCTTCTGAACAAGAAAATGAACAATTTGAAAATACCGGCATAGAAAATGATATTGACAAAACAAAAATCTCACATGATAATCTAACTTCCTTAAACGAGGAAGATATTCCAGATAATGATAGAAACGTTGATAATTATGAAATTTCAATAAACTATGTTTCTACTGGAATACAATGGAATCGTAAAGATGTTGATATTAATGAGATATTTGTCTATGCCATTGCCACAAATTTTATGAATGAAAACAATGACAATGAGCCAAAAACAATAGAAGAATGTCGGAAACGACATGATTGGCCAAAATGGAATGAAGCTATTCAGACAAAATTAAAATCACTTGAAAAATGTGATGTTTTTGGACCGATAGTCCCTACGCCAAAAGGCATAAAACCAGTGGGCTTTAAATGGGTATTTGTGCGTAAACGCAATGAGAAAAATGAAATTGTTAGATATAAAGTCCGACTTGTTGCCCAAGGTTTTTCTCAAATGCCGGGAATTGATTATGAAGAAATCTATTCTCCAGTAGTTGATGCAACTACATTAAGGTTTCTCATTGGCATGTCTGTTTTTGAAAGGCTGCAAATGCGCCTAATGGATGTAGTAACTGCATATTTATACGGTTCACTCGATACAGACATTTATATGAAAGTTCCCAGAGGATTTAAAATGCGTGAAGCTTATAACTCGAAACCTCGAGAAATGTTTTCCATAAAACTACAGAAGTCATTGTATGGATTAAAACAATCTGGACGAATGTGGTATAATCGTCTCAGTGAATATCTTCTAAAAGAAGGATATAAGAATGATCCAATTAGTCCATGTATTTTCATTCGGCGATTAAATTCGGGATTCGCCATAGTTACAGTATATGGTGATGACTTAAATATTATTGGAACTCCCGATGAGATTGAAAATACTGCAAAATATCTTATGAAAGAATTTGAAATGAAAGTTCTCGGGATAATCAAATTTTGTCTCGGACTTCAAATTGAGCATTTGAAGAATGGAATTTTCATCCATCAATCCAATTACACCGAGAAAGTGTTCAAGAGATTCTATATGGACAAAGCTCATCCTTTGACTTCACCAATGGTCATTCGATCTCTCAACATACACGATGATCCATTCCGTCCCCGAGAAGACGACGAAGAAATACTCGGTCCCGAAGTACCATATCTGAGTGTTATTGGAGCTTTAATGTATTTAGCTAATAATAGTAGACCACACTTTGCATTTTCTGTAAATTTATTAGCTAGGTACAGTTCATGCCCAACAAGACGTCATTGGAACGAGATCAAGCACATATTCCGTTATCTACGTGGTACAGTTGATCTCGGCTTATTCTACCACAAAGAAGCAAAAGCTTCTTTAATCGGATATGCAGACGCTTGATACTTATCAGATCCTCAAAAGGCGAAATCACAAACCGGATACGTATTTACTTATGGTAACACCGCAATCTCATGGAGATCTATGAAGCAGACATTGACAGCTACATCATC